CACACACACACACACACACACACACACACACACACACACACACACACCCCACATGCATATTCCCACCAAAACCTACCCACCTGCAAACAAATAACAGACAGACAAACACACAAAAGGTAATAACACACAGACGTGTACAGCTTGGTCACACCTAAGACTTCGGCTGAAGAGAGCTGCAGTTCTCAACAGTCAAATGAAGCGAGATCACACTGACAAAAGGGCAACACACCCTTTGCTCATCAATATCTGTAAAACACGATTGCACTGCCTTGCTGCTAATATCATTGTCTAGATGGAAGCAAGGCCAAAACACGGTTCAAAGTGCTGCTGCTGCCGCTAACGGTTCATGGACTCATGCACCTCCTTCCTGCCCTTTCTGTGGAAGACACACACAAAGCAGCAGAGTTCTCAGAAACGTTTCATAGTCTGGAATATCAGGATCCAATATCGCTTCTGAATCTCAAGCTTTTCCTGGCTTTGGCACTTTGTACCAAGGACGAACATACTTGGGGATCCCTTTCACCTGCTCAGGGCTCTCACAAATGCTTCTGAACTGAGGCAGGGAGCTGCTTCTATGCCAAAGACGGGGGCACAGAATACAAGGAGTTCAACACAAGGTACTGGACTCTTCATCGATTTAAACTGGCGACTTAAACCTAGCACAAGACAGTTAGCTTTCATGACTGACACACTCCGTACCTGACAAACTGCACAGGGATTCACACGATTCACACAGTTGTTCCTGGAGCTATCTGTCCACAGTTAAAGCATATTTGTGACGCTTCAACATGAGAAATAGGAAGCCAGGACACAGTGGATGAAGAGCTGCCATCCATTTTGCAAGTAGCTTTCTACACAGCGTTCCTCTGGTAGTTTGTTTTGTTTTGTTTATTTGTTTTTGAGACAGGATCTCCTACATGGCCCTGGCTCTCCTGGGACTATGTAGATGAGACTGGCCTCAAACTCACAGAGATCTGCCTCTGCTTCTCAAGGGCTGAGATTAAAGGCGTGTACCACTATGCCTGGATTATAGCCCCTATGTCTGACCACATTATAGTCAATCAAAACCTAGGGCTGGAGAGTGTCTCAGCACTTAAGAGCTGCTCCCCTAGAGGACCTGGGTTCAAGCCCAGCAATCATAGACAAGCGTGTGGCGCAGGTATCTGCATGCAGGCAGAATTCCCACACACCTAAAATAAATAAATTAAAAAGCCATCAGATAGCTCACCGAGCAGGAAGCACGCATGTGTGCCTGTGTGCAAACATGGACAGAAGAGAGCTACGAGCCTCCTTGTGAAGGAAAACTTACTATTTCATTAATTAAACAAAACAACTTCTCTGTAGCTACATCAAGTAAAATGCTGGACTCCTGAGTGGGGGAGAGCATTGTGAGTACAGTCTGTTACACAAGCATAGGGACCAGAGTCCAGGCCCCAGTCCCCATGTGAAGCGGAATACAGTGGTATGCAGCCTTAATCCTAGTGCACGTAAGTAAGATGGGAAGCAGGGACAGGGAAGTCTCCAGTGCCAGATGGCTGGGCACACGTGATGGAGGGCCTCAAGCAGGAAAGCTGACAACTGACATGAGGCGGTCCTCTGACCTCCATGTTAACCTAGCCTCCCAGTCCCTAACGTCCCTGTCCTCTTAGCCTTCTCATTTTGTTATATGAACCGCCAAAGAGAGACAACAGCTGCACTGTGCCCGAGTCCCTCTTCAAAGCTCTGAGCCTCTGCAGACGCCAGGAAGATAAGCATAGACTCACCTGCTCTTTGGAAGAGCGCCCACTGTTAAGGGCCCTCACATCCCTGTCTCCCTCGAAGATCAAAGAGAAAGGAAGAAGCTCATTTCAAGATTTTGCTACAGTCAATAAGGAGTTTAGGGGGCCTGGGGGGTGGGGAATGCCAAAGAACCAGAGGGTTGATTAATGATTAGTCTCAAATCCTTAATTTATCAGGCACAGGCTACTGAAAACGCTTTAAAACTTGGAGTTGGACAGACGGTCCAGTGGTTACAGCACTTGTTGCTCTTGCGGGGACCTGGGTTTGACACCCACATGGTGGCGCCACACTTCTAGAGGATTCAGGAGCCCTCTCTGGCCTCCATGAGCATCTGTACACATGTGGTGCACATGCGTACATGCGGATAAACACACAACACACAAAAATCGATCTTTGCAAGGCATCAGTCAAATCTCTGGAAACTCTAATAAGGGTCCACAAATTCTAGTAGTGGTGGGAAGGAAAGAAAGAGCACACGAGCACACACATACAGAGGAAGAAGAAGAGGGAGAGGGAGGATGGGGAAACGGTGGGAGACGGAGGTATAGGGAGGGAGGGAAAAGGAGGGAGAGAGGGAGCGAGAGGAATGGAGAGGATGGAGAGACAGGGTAGGAGAGGGAGGGAAAGGGAGGCAGAGAGGGAGCAAAAGCCTGTTTTATGTTTAGAAATTATGCTCAACTCATTTATAAGGAAGAGTGTCAGACAAGCTTCAACAGGAAAGTGCTGAAGCAGCAGTGTAGACTCAGAACTCATCCAGATCCAGGCAGAAAAGATGCTACAATCCTACCCAGAGGAGTAGAGTGAGACCAACTCTGCCTTGCGAGATTCCCTGGCTTCCCTAGGCTATCCTCTCAAGATGGCCGATTTAGAGGTGTGTGATATGCTGCCCACAGCCAGGCAGCGCCGTGCCTGAGGAACACAGTATGCAGACATACCTACTGCCAGTCAATCTCAGAAGCAGAGATCATACACAACATGATAACCGGAAGTGACAGTTTATCACTTGTTACCTTTGATTTTTAAATATAATTTGCTTTAAATAATGTTTGTATTTTATTGTTTTTGCAATGTGGCTAACTCCACAAGCAGCCAGTTCCAGGTGCCCATGGAAGTTTAAGGGCCTAGGACTGTCTTCCTAGCCATTCTTAAATACTGGGAGAATGTGAAGTCAATTTTCCAAAACAAAATTAAAACCTTCAGTTCCCCCATACAGAATTTGATTTTCTTAAGTTGCAGGCTTTTGAATTTCCAAACAGGCCAATTGCTTTGTCTCAAAGCTGGCTATCACTTCAAGTAAGTCTTTGGGTTCAGAAGGAGATAACACTTCACACAGTGCTTGCTAGGGTACTCAGCAGAGAAAGCTGTTTCTCAGGGCCCGGATTCCCCTCCACTCACCCTCAGAAGAAAGCCCTAACCACTGGAGCTGCCAGCTGCAGACAGAGAACATTTATAATTAAGGTAGCCCGTTGAAGCGGGAACGTCATCTGTTATTTCCCATTAAGTACAGATCCCTGAACCTATCTAGTGAAAGCTGGTGATGGAGGAACAGGAACACACTGGTAGTTATTCCTAAGACTTCAGCAAGAGCTGTGGGCAGGGGCGGGCCTCTTCCACCTCTCCTTGTCTCACTGCGGAAGACAGCCCTGCAGATTCTCAAGATGTTACTGATAGGTGGCAGCCTCATTACTGTGTATTGTGTGGGTGCCAGCTCATGAGCTGCCACTTGGCAAAGGTGGAATGAACCCTCTGCTTCCTAAGGTATCACAGGAGCTGGAATCTCAGAGCAGTTAGAACGATTTCATCCTATAAATATGTATGGGCACTCAATATGCAACATAATGAAGAAAGATCATCAGGAAGAAAACAGTCAGGAGAGCAGCATATTAACAGGAAAAACTACGAGGATGCCGAGGTTCCGGAGGGGTGGAAGGCACACAGTCTATATATTGAAGCTGAGGCTGCCGACAGGCCAACAAGAGTCAATGCAAGTCTCTACTTTCATTTTTCCCCGGGCTTCACCCATTAAGACAGCCCAGCCTACACTGCTGTAAAGGCTATAGAAGATGCTCTGCAGCCTTCAGGTTGAGGTCAGCGCTAGGGCTGAAATATAAGAAATTCCAGGAGACCAACAACTCATTCACCTTTTAGAACTAAAGACAAAATACAGGTAAGGGGCTCAATGCAGGATAACTATTGTGAAAAGCCAGAAGCTGTGTGCATAGTGCATTTTCAACTTTAAACATTGCCTTGCTGAGTATACGGCTGAATTTGGGGGGCAGTCATCGCTTCCTCATTTAACATTAGATACCCGAATCTTATGATATCACCCAAGATGAACACTGACAGGGATTTTGGTGCAAATTCTGAAGAGTCTGGCCTTTTTGTTGTATAGCAGCTATTTGTAAGAAATGATATGCTAAATAACCGTGGCGTATAATTTAGGGACAAAACCAACTGTCAAGAAACAGCCAGGGACTACATCTAATGAAACCCTCACAGACTGAAGTAATAAGTATTAAATTAATCAACATAGCTTAATTGAAGCTCTATCTGTAACATTTTTTATTAGACTTGTTATTAATGAGCCTTTAAATGTTACAACTAACTTGAGCACCGTGTTAAATTTAAATAATGAAGCATTGTTCCCACACACAAAGAACAAACACCACTTTAATAGGCCTTTTTCTCCATGGGCCTTTTGCAGGCAGTGGGAGGAAGAAAGCCTGTGCTTCCTCACCACTGTGGTGTGTTTGGCTAGACAGCACAATGAAGGCCGCTAAAATACCTCAAAATAACCACACCTAAATTGTTAAGAAAGTAAAGATTGGGAGCTAAGAGCAGAGAGGAGACAGAACTTAGGTTTCACCTCAAAGGTGCGCTCTTTGTTAACCTCGCACGCCTGCGGTCGCGTGCCACATATATGAACACACACACCAACGTGCTGGCGAAAGCAGCTGGGCCTCGGCCGTGGCACCCGTGTATTTGCACGTCATACCGCCCGAGCAGGCGTTTCTTGGGTTGCATCAACTCAAGACTACCCAGGACCGTCCTGCAGTTTTTGACTGCTTACCTGAACATGTCCCCCAAGCCTTTCAGCATTCCCTTCTTGGCTTTCAGTTTATCCTTCTCCTTCTCTCGGTCTTTTTTCTTCTCTTTTCCAGGTTTGTCCTTCTTCCTATCTGTCTTGTCCCTTTTCTCCGGGTTTCCGTTCATCTGTCTGTCCAGGGAGTAAGAAGGTTGGTCGCTGGATGTGGACACAGACTCCCTTCCAGATCTCGAGCTTTCCTCTGTGTCTTCTTCCACTTGAAAGGGGGGAGAAAAGAAGATGAGGTATACAGTGAGTCACGGCAACAGAATAAGGACACCAAGTTGTCCGTGGGACCTCCCTTCCCCAGTCTCCTCAGCAAAGGGACCTTCCACTGGCTGGGACCACGTGCAGCAGCAGCAGGGAAGCATGACAGGTGCTATGGTGCACAGGCACATCCTGCAGGCGACGGGGCACCGGGGCTGGGGAGAAAAGCTTTCTGGCTGGGCATGCGAGCATGGCGCTGTTCCCATTGCTACAGAGTCCTCTCCGCAAGGAGAACTAGGATCTTTTCCTTAGGATGCTCAGCCCCAGCAGGATCCTGAGCTCCACATTTGCAAAGGAAAAGCACTAAGCAAAGTGCACCCCCTTTTCTGCTTGTTTCTTCTTGTTTCAAGATCCTACTGACACCCCCACACCTCGCTTTAATATACTGTGGCCACCACTGATGAGCAACAGCCACCTTGACATGAACTTCCAGCACCAAACTTCCTGATACACTCAACAGGTGGTTTCTGAGTACAGAAAAATGGACTATTTCCGGTTTCTGGAGACAACAGGTCTCCAGATTCTCCTTGGGTTATTCCTTTGGACAGCTAACACCACATGGAAATGCTGCTTTACATACTGGCCGCAGTAACTGTCCACATGCTTTGTGTGTGTGCCTGAACATATGTTCAAGTGAGTGTACATGGGTATAGACTATGTATTTTGTGTGAGGAGGCCAAGGTCAACTTCAGGGCTGTTCCTCAGGCACCAGCCATCTTGTATTTTGAGATAGTGCCTGTCACCAGCCTGGAGCTTGCCAAGTAGCTAAATGGATGTCCAGCAAGTCATAGGGGAGCCTCCTGCCTCTCTCCCAGGGCTGAGGAGGGCACACAGGCATAGCACCTGCACACCATTTGATGTTGGCGCTGGGGAGGGAGCTAGCCGAGAATGCCTCTGTGGGCGAGCTCTGAGTCCTGCTCCACCGCTGTAGAGATGGATGGTCCAGGAGAACCTGTGACTCACAACTCACTCCTTCCGGCTTCGCCCTCAGGATTTTGTATTTTAAAGAATGACAACTGTAAACAGTAACTATTAGAAATCTGTTCAGAGATAAAGCCATAACCTTATTTTCCAAATACACACAAAAGAGATTATGTGGGCTTCAGTGACTCGACTCTCAAGGCCATTTCTTTCCAGCTTCAACAAAGAGATCCATGTTCTTGGACTTACAGAAATATGGGGCTAAATATAATATTCTGCAAATCAGGTCAATTGATCAGTCTTACCTGTCTCAGCCTTGGGGCACCAGGGTAGTGATATAAGTACCAAGAGTCTAAGACCAGAGAGGACATCCTAGCATCTCAGATCTCCCCTATTAATCCGCAAAAACCTGGGACCACTTGATGAGCTGACAGAGCCAAGCACAAACAATATTATCCTGCATTGTTTTAGAGGTGGCGATCGTTGAACAGAAGGACAAAAAGCAAGGTAACAAATTCTTGGACACACAGCTTAGAGCAGGAGCCAATATGTATCTTCTCTCAGCAAGCCACGCCCTAGACACACCCGAAGCCTCCAATCAGGATCTGAGGTGGCCGAGTGGTTAAGGTGGCATCCGGCTCCTTCGGAGGACCTGAGCTGGTTCCTAGAACGCACACTACTTGGCTCGCAACCACCTGTGACTAGCTGTAGAAGGACTCAAAGTCCCGTTCCACAAGGGCACCCGCCCACACACGCTCAGACCCATACACAGGTAAAAACAACAGACATACTCATAGCCACCTGACCTAACTTTACCTCCAGGGGAGCTGATACCCCCCCTTCTGGACTTTGTGGGTACTGTCCCTAAACATGCACACACCTACATTCAGACACATACAAATACACACATGATGCCTTTTCAAAGCTATGTTAGTGACCGGCTGTTGGGAGGGCTGTGGCCATGGACTGCTAGGGTCGTGGCTTATACTGGGCTCACCTGGAACACAGACCAGGTACCGCCCATAAAAATGACTTTACAACGGCTGCCCTTCCCCAATATTGATGTTGTCTGATTTTTAGCCGCCACCTTCCTCTCGAAGTTATGGAAGCTTAGCAATTTTTTTCTTGGAGCTTGAGGTTTATCTCAGTTGGCAGAGTGCTTGCCTACCGTGCACAAAACTGGACTCCATTCCTAGCACCACATTAAGGGGTGGTTGTGCACCCATATAATCCCAGCACTGAGGAGGTGGGGTTCAAGACCATACTCAGCAACACAGTAACGAGGCTAGCCTTGGCTACATTAAACCCTGCCCCAAAATGAGACAAAACAAAAAAAAAAAAAAAAAAAAAAAGTGTGTTTCTTTTCCTCTCTGCGAATATACAGATATTAACTGAAGGAGTTTGTTGGAAGAGGCTGGTTAGCATTTTCAGGTAGACACGAAATCTGTAACCTTATGCACAATGCTGAACTAAGGCTGTGATTTTGTGAAGTGCACTCAGGAAACAATGATCCTGGCCAGTTGCCCTTGGCCTTACTATATACGTGTTACTGCAGTGAGACCAATTGAGAAATTGCAGAACTGGCAGAATTCAGGACCCTGGCTCAAACCTCTGACACATGGCTATGCTACCCACTTAGAGGCCACTGCTTCTCCTACCTTTGGGAAATGAGTGTGGTCCCAAATCTGTGACAATTGATCAAATTACCAAGAAAAGGTTCTCAGAAATTTCAAAAGCTAAGTAGACTGGAATACTGCAAGGAACTGAATGGAAGTTGGAGGGTGCTCTGTGAGCCCTGCTTGAGAGCAAACTGTTACTAAAACTCCCATCCAATGCTCAATCTTTCATTGTCACTTCTCAAATGCTATCCATATACATGTGCCTGCTATCCGTTTCACTACTGAAATGAAGCACCACATTCCTCTGAATTCAGAAAAATGCCTGCTCTCCTCCAACAAAGTCTCATAAAATGAGCCATAATCAAGCTCTGGCACAGACTCCCACATGAACTAGCTCTAACTGGTTTCAGGTATATTCCTGGGCTATCACCATTTGAACTATGTATATCAGCAAATAGATTTTATAACCCTCTATAATGTCTGAAACAAAATAAAAAAAAAAAAGAACTCAATAAATGTAAATGATTTAGCCTTCCACAACAACCATTATCATAAATCATGAATGGAGTATGAGTAGCAATATGGTCGGTTTTCTGCCTAATAGTTTTGGCAAGACTTCAGAGGGCATATGTCTTTTCTTGGCTCCACAACAGAATAAACATGGTGCCTTCACAACTCGCTATATGCTGAAGCAACGTTTGTGCCAATTCTTTCCATGTTCAGAAGAATTCTCTCATGTATGTAATCAACTTATTTCCTAAATTGGATGAAACAGAAAGTATTCAATGATTTATTAACTTCGTTTTTGTAATCTCATTTTATAAAATGGAAACTTTACCTCACTTTGGTGCCCCCAGCAAGTGCACTGTTTAAATGATACTTGCACATCTGAGAATTCTTCACTCTTGTTCTAAACATTCAGATTTAGGTAATACCTCATCACAGAAAAGCTGCTGGGGACATGCTGATCTAACCAATGCCTTTGAATGCCAACTAATTAAAAATATTTAGCAATATGGAATTTCATATGTACAAACATAAGATGTTCTTTTTCGGAGTCACATTATATACACTAACTCAGAACAAAAAGAATTTTCCTGCTAGGCCTTGCTTCTCTGTGAAAACACTTAAAAATTTTTAAAAAGTTCCAATAAAATGGTTACATGTGTTTAACTTGTGAAAAACATGGATATGATTCAAGGACACAGGTATCTAAGACGGTAAGATTAAAACCTATGACTGTATATTTAGGACTAGCTTTATGGTCAGGACTATGAAATATTTTATTTCCTTAGGCTGAGGAAATGAAAATTCTCATGTGAACAATAATTTTACAAATAAAATACTAGCAATGCATCAGCAGCAAAGACTCGCTCTGTTCCGCTCCTAGAATAACCTCTAGTACAGACTAATCAAGAATTTATTTATATTTAGATAATGTTCTATTTTAAATGTAGCATAAATATTGTTGTTTTCCACTTTAATCCTGCTCATCTTCACAGGCAGCCTGTATAAAGGGAGATGCCATCTACACTTCTGAACAAACAGATTTTCTGCCCCAGTTCTAGGTCTGAGCCTGCCCCTGGCCTCTTCCTGAGTGACTTCTGTAAAGACAGCACTTGCTCGTCCCTTTTTTAAAAAGGTGAAGCATGAAGCGGCTTATTTCCTTCGGTGTGCCAGTCATTCTGCAATTAAGACAAACCTAATCACCGTGTTTTCAACAGATGCAAATGTGACTCAATTAAAATTCTAGACGGTGTGACAAACCGAGCTCCTCGGCTCTGAAAGGTATCGTGTTAGGAATGGGTCACTGAAAAGTCTAGAAAAGTCTGAGCACTTTCGCGTTAATGGAGAAAATGTCTGCGGCCTGAGCTCAAAGTTGGAGAATGAAACCTTTGTCTATGAAGACTGGACTCCCACAGGCCCAGTCCCAGCACGTGGTGACCAGCCATTGTTTTCTCTCACTGAAAACCAGTGTGACTGCTGCTACCATAATGAGCTCTTGCTTACTCAAAACTCACTTCTCTTTTTCTGCTTCCCTGTAAACTCAGACTGTGCCCAGAATGTGACCAAGTTCCAAAGGTTGATTCATTAAGTTTAAAACCAACAGCAGCAGCCATGCCCTCGAAGACATGGGAGAGCAAGGTCATTTGCACTAGGCATGGCCTGTCACATGGAATCCATCCCTGCGGCTGGGCACAAAAAGGAAACTGCGAACGTACTTGAGGACAGAGGAGCAGGAATAAAGACTAGATCTCGGGTGACACTGATGACCTGTGGGCGGACAAACCCGAAGCTGCCTGCCTGCGGAAAACACTGCTTCTCCTCATCACTGAAGCTGTGGAGTCAAGTTTGCTATTAAATGCAGTATAAGTCAGACTTTCAAATAGCTGTAAAATATCTACTGTTG